CTTTGAAATAACAGGGTCTAAAGCCAGCAATAAACAACAAAATCCTTTTTCCCTGGGCTGCTTGAGAGGGGAAGGCAAGTTCGCGGCTTTCACTGAGACCCCCAAAAAAGGTCACTTGGACAACGAAATATGGTCCCAGGTTACAACCTATCAGATGTGACGAGTGAACAGGCAAAAGGGGGGGGTTGGGGCCTTCATTGCAGAGCACTTGTTTTTTCACAGAACTGCTTAATGCCCCAAATGACGTTGTGGAAGTTTTGCGTAAAAGGGGGACCCAAAAAACCCAGTCATTGTGGTTGTTACAAGCCCCCGGAGAAAAATCCAGCAATTCCCGGAACAGCTGTTAAAAATGACCCCTGTCTGGAAAATCTTCCCCGCTCCGCACCCAACATTTGCTTGGGGGATTTCAATTTGGCCCAAAAAGGGGGGAAATAGCAAAATAATATTGTTGCAGTAAAACACCAGGAGGCAGCTCTGATGAAAATACACTCAACGGCTTTTTTAAATCTCTGCACAAAATTCAATTTAAAAAAGCAAATAATAGAGCCTACTAGTGGAGAATACACTAGACCCCTCTTCCTAACAATGATGATTGTAAGAAATGTCACCCTTCAAAAAAACAAATTTCTCGATCACAACTAATTGAGGTTGCTGTTGCGTGGAGCCCCGAACCCACAAATGAGACTAGTCACGAGGGGGGGATTCACCAAATTCAACTTCAATAACAAAAAAAATAAAGTGGGACCAAGTAAACCCAAGTCCCAAAGATATAAAACTGGGAAGATATACAGCAAACAGACCCAAACTTATCCCAGACGATTAACTCGGTGGCACTCGTGTATGCACAAGGCTTATTCCTTAAAAAAAAAGGGGGGATGATGAAAAATAAAAAGAGACAGGCGCCCCTTTTTAAACAGGGGGGGAAAAGAATAAAGAGGGGCTAAAAGAGGTCAATAATCAGAAATGCGCAGGGGAGACATGGTCAGAGAAATAGCAAGCATCGAACAAGCTAAAAAAACCCTTTTAGGAGGGAATCGCGGGAAGAACTAAAACCCCCATAAGAAATCAAAAGAAAACCCAAAAAGTTTTCTTTCCTATGCCAATAAAAATCGAGAAAAAGTCCGTTTGGGGCCCCCCTATTTAAAACAAGGGGTCCCCCACAGGAAACAGCAAGGAAATGATTTGGCTTCAAGTCCCAATATGACTCGTTTTTTGCAAGCCGCAAACCCGGGGATGAGAGTCGAATTTCAAATGTTTTTTTATGGAGGCCAAAAATTTGTTTAACCAAAAGCCTATCCGATGTTTCCTGACGCCAAATGATTCGAACAGGCGATAAAGACATGCCCATGCATCTGCCCCGGGGGCCAGATCATGGAATCTGTGTTTCTCAAGAACGCAAAAAGCCCCTATCCGACCCTTTTCCACCTATGGAGGGGGAGAATGGACACGGGGGTCGTCCCTATTTTACTAAAAAAACAGAAATAGCCCACTCCCAAAGGGGGGAGGGCAGTAAAGAACACAAAGAACTACAGCCCAAATAGCACAACACCCCTATCATAAAAATCTTTGAAAGGGTCCTAAAAAGCAAGATCACCACCCTTTTAAAAAACCCATCATTTAAAACCCGGGGCAACGGGGTTTTTAAAAACAGGCGCCCCTGTCTGTCTAATACTGGATCATACGAAAGGTCCTAAATGCACTAGGACAAAAAGTTGAGATGAAATATATACAGCTTTGCAAAGCCTTGAAAAAAGTGGACCATGGGTAATGCGCACAAAAGCCCAAAAAGGAAAAAACAGGAAAATTTGGGTCGATGGATCTTAATTTTCAAAACAGCACGAGAGTAGTGCAACAGAGAAAAGTCCGAGGAGCTCGGTAAAAAGTCTGTTACAGGACAGTATAGCTCCCATCTGTTCCTCCTCATACCCGCATAGAAAAGGATGTCAGCCCAGCCGTGTCTTCCTTTGCAGATGACACCAAATCTGCATGACGTGTTTCCCATTGCAGACACTGAAAGGCTCCGGCGGCATCAACCAAATTTTTCAGGGGGCTGCGAAAACAATATGAATTTCAACGATGAAAATTTCAATTATCAGATATGGAAAAACATGAGGAAATTAAATCTTCAAGGTACAAAACAAATTTGGGCCCAAAAATAGAGCGAAACCCCAACGTCAAAGACCTGGGGTGATTTGTCGGAGATCTCCCCTTTCAAGGCCATAAATTGTATAAAATCCCCTTTGCTGAAAATTGGGATGGATAATGAGAACCTTCAAAACTAGGGGGCCAAGCCCATGATGACACTCTTCAGGTCATTTTTTATCTATTGGAATTTGCTGCACTCTAACAGCACCTTTAAGGCAGGTAAAATTTTGCCGACCTAAAAAAAAGTACGAGAATTTTCACGGCGGCATAACGGAGATAAAAACCTCAATTACTGGGAGCGCTTGGGGTTTCAAACCGTTTTCCGGAAGGGAGGGGAGATACTGATATTACACCTGGAAAACCCCAGGGGGCTAGTACCGAACTTGCCACAAAAAATCACTCACTACGAAGCAAAAGATGGCAGCGATCACCACCCCCCCAATGAAAAGCAGGGGTGTCCTACACGTTAGGGGCCCCTTCAAAAAAGTGTCAGGGGACCGAGATGTTAACTGCCCCCCACACACATGGGGGGGTTTCCCAACGGGACCCTGGCGTCTTCAAGCTGGCACTGGAAAAGCACCTAAAGGCTTTCCCTGATCAGCCGGGTGGGCCGTTACTTTTGGTTTGCGTGCACCCGCAGCAACACCCTGGTTGTCAGGGCTGTTCCACAGGAGCTGGTACAGACCGGGCGCGGGGGCGTTGACCCCAAAAAACTCTCTCCGGGTAAACCCCAGGTAAACCCCAGTAATTTATCCTGGTATGTTAATTATCACGTAATTACCCTGGTATGTTAAATATCCTGGTATTTTAATATACCCACAGTAATTATCCTGGTATGTTAAATTCGGGGTAGTTAATATACTCACAGTAATATATGCTGGTATGTTAAATATCTGGTTGTTATATATCACTAGAATATATCCTGGTTGTTAAAACCTGGTTGTTAATATACTCACAAGTAATTTCGGGTTTATGTTAAATATTTGGTTGTTAATATATCATGTAATATATCTAGTTGTTAAATATCCTGGTATGTTATATCTCACAGCAATTACCTGGTAGTTAATATGCTGGTTGTTTACCTGGTTTTTAGAAAAAGACAGTATTTTATATACCCGGTTGTTTAAATACCCTAGTATGTTAATTACTACAGTAATTACCCTGGTATGATAAATTCCTGGTTGTTAATTTTCACGTAGAAATATACCCTGGTATGTTAATACCCGGTATGTTAATATACTCACAGTAATACATCTGTTGTTAAATACCCTGGTATGTTAATATAACAGTAGAAATAATCCTGGTATGTTATATCAAGTAGCAATATATCCGGGTATGTTAAATTGCGGGTATGTTAATACCTCACTGGTGTAATATTCCTGGTATGTTAATACCTGTTTTGTTAATATATCACAGTAATTATCTGGTTTTTAAAATATCTGGAATGTTTATCCGTAGTAATTTTCCCTGGTTGTTAAATATGCTGGTATGTTAATATCCTCAGGGTAGTAATATTCCTGGTTTATTAATGTCCTGGTATGTTAATACCCGGGTTTGTTAATATCAGGGTATTTTTTAAATTCCTGGTTTGTTAATATCGGGGTATTTTTATTTCCTGGTATGTTAATATCCGGGGTAGAATATCTGGTATTTAATACCTGGTTGTTAAACCTGGTATGTTAATTTCAAAATTTTGTAATTATCCTGGTATTTTAAAATTTCCCGGGTTTTAATTCACAGTAGTAAATTTTTCCCCGGTATGTTAAATATCCTGGTATGTTAATTCCTCACTGGTAGAAATATATCCTGATATGTTAAAATTTGGTATTTTAAAATTTTCATGTAATTATCCTGGTATTTAAAATTGGTATTTTAAATATCCTCATGGTAGTAATTTCCTGGTAGTTAAATATCCTGGTATTTTAATTTTTCACTGAAAATATACCCTGGTATGTTAAATACCCCGGGTATTTTAAACATAAAAGTAGTAATATACCCTGGTATGTTAATACCCTGGTAGTTATTACTCTAGAATATGTCCTGGTATGAAAATACCTGGATGTTAATATACTCACTAAATAATATACCCGGTATTTTAAAAATTTCCTGGTTTTTAATATCGGGTATGTTAACATACACAGTAGTAATATTCCTGGTTGTTAATTTTCACAGTAATATACCCTGGTATTTTAAAAATTATCCGGGTATGTTAATTTACTACTAGTAATATATCCGGGGTTTTTAAATATTGGTATGTTAATTACTCACTAGTAATATACCCTGGTTTTTTAAACTACACAGTAGTAATATATCCTGGTATTTTAAAATTCCTGGTTGTTAATATACTCACGGGTAATATACCCTGGATTTTAAATTCCTCACTAAAAATAATCCTGGTTTTTAAAAATTTGGTATGTTTATACACAGTAGTAATATATCGGGGTATTTTAATATACCAGTAGTATATATCGGGTATGTTAATATACTCAGAAATTATCCTAGTAGTTAAATCTGGTATTTTAAATATACTCACAAAATATATCCTGGTATGTTAAACCCTGGTTTTTAAAATACCTGGTATGTTAATTCCTGGTATTTTAACATAAAAGTAGAATTACCCTGGTTTTTTATCCGGGTATGTTACATACACAGTGTAATATATCCTGGTATTTTAAATTTCTCACGTAATATATCTGGTATGTTAGTTCCGGGTTATGTTAATATACACAGTAGTAATATACCCTGGTATTTTAAAATTACTACAGTAATATATCCTGGATGTTTTTACCCGGGTTGTTTTTATACTCACGAAATATATCCTGGTAGTTAATATCCTGGTATGTTAATATCCTCACAGTAATATATCCTGGTATGTTAATATCCTGGTATGTTAATATCCTGGTATGTTAATATCCTGTATGTTAATATCCTCACAGTGTAATATATCCGGTTTTAGTTAAATTCCGGGTATGTTAATATCACAGTGTAATAATCCAGGTATGTTAATTACTCAGTAATATACCCTTTGTATGTTAATATTGGTTGTTAATTTTCTGGTATGTTAATATACTCACAGTAAAAACCCTGGATGTTAATATCCGGGTATTTTAAATATCCTGGTTGTTAATTCCTGGTTTGTTAACTAACGTAGTATTATATCCTGGTATGTTAATATCCTGGTATTTTTAATACACGTGTAATATATCCTGGTTGTTAATAACTCACGTAATTTTCCCTGGTTTTTTAATATCCGGGTATGTTATATCCGGTATGTTAACAGTAGAAATATTTAGGTCAAGTTTGGGGTCGCTGATGCTCACTGGGGCTCAAAATGTTAATATCAAAAAAAGTAATTTTTTCCCTAGTTTTTAAAACACCCGGGTGTTTAAACACCCTGGGTGTTAACATCCTGGGTTTTAAACACCCTGGGGTTTAACGTGAAAATTTACGGTCATTTTGCGGGTCGTGATGCTCACTGAGGCTCAAAATGGCTGATTTAAATATTCTCTTTTTCTGATTTTTTTTGTTGTTTTTTAAAGTTTTTGTAGAAAATTATGGAAAATTATTGGGGAAGTTGAGCAAAAATTAAATTTTAAATTCCTAAAGAGAAAGATGAAATTATGTATGATAATCTATGTTGATAATCTAGGTATGATAATCTTGTTTGATAATCTTGTATGATTTTCTGTATGATAATTATGTATGAAAATCTTGTTGAAATCTATGTATGTAATCCGTATGATATCTATGTTTGAAAATCTATGTATGATAATTCTGTAGAAAATTTTGTATGAAAATCTATGTATGTAATCTCTGTTGTAATTATGTTGAAATCTCTGTTGAAAATTATTTTATGATAATCTTTGTATTTAAATCTCTGTTGAAAAATTATGTATGATAATCTCTGTTTATTCTCTGATGAAATCATGTATGAAAATCTCTGTATGTAATCCTGTATGTAATCTCTGTTGTAATTCTGTATGAAAATCTTGTTGAAAATTCTTTTGGGATAATCTCTGTTGATAATCTCTGTTGATAATCTTGTATGATATCTATGTATGATAAATTCCTGTATGATAATCTCTGTATGATAATCATGTATGAAAATTATGTATGATAATCTATTATGAAAATCTATGTAGTAATCTTGTATGTAATCTCTGTTGAAAATTATGTATGAAAATCTAGTATGATAATCTCTGTATGATAATTCTGTATATAATTCTGTATGTTTAATTTTTGTTGATAATTCTATGTATGATAATTTGTATGTAATCATGTATGTAATCTATGTATGATAATTTGTATGAAAATTATGTATGATAATTATGTATGTAATTCTTTAGTAATCTCTGTATGAAATCTTGTATGATAATCTCTGTATGAAAATTTCTCTTTGATAATTTTGTTGATAATCTATGTATGAATTATGTATGATAATCTCTGATGATAATCTCTGTAGTAATCTCGTATGAAAATCTTGTATGATAATCTTGTATGATAATCTATGTATGAAAATCTATGTATGAAAAATCATTGTATGAAAATTCTGTAGATAATCTCTGATTTAATCTTCCCAAATAAACTTACTAAAAACCCTCCCTAGAAATCAAAATTTAATATTCAATAAAAATTTATTATTCTCAACTGTTTTTTGTTATTTAACTTGACACATTCTGGGAAAAATAAAATTGTAATTACACTTGTGACCGGTGGAAGTGCCCGGGCTCAGTACTTGGAAATTTGTTCGTGATTGTGTCATGTATAGAAGTGTCGTGGGTTTATTTCTTTGTAATTTGTTGTGATTGTGATCATGTTTGAAATGTACGTGGTTCTTCCCTTTTAGTTTGTTCGTGATTGTGAAAGATTACATGGGTTTATTACCTTTGTAACTCGTTAGTTCTAACTATGGGGCCCGTCCCTGGCCCATTATGTACCCCTTGTTGAGGTCAGTCCTGGACCCATTATGTACCTCAGTAATGTTGAGGTCAGTCCCCGGACCCTTTGTACCTCAGTAATGTTGAGGTACAGTCCCCGGACCCTTTGTACCTCAATAATGTTGAGGGGCAGTCCCTGGACCATTATGTACTCGAATGTTGAGGGACAGTCCCGGACCCATTATTACCTCAGTAATGTTGAGGTACAGTCCCTGGACCCATTAGTACCTCAATAATGTTGAGGTACATCCCTGGCCCATTTGTACCTCAATAAAGTTGAGGACAGTCCCCGGACCCCTTATGACCCCGTAATGTTGAGGTACAGTCCCTGGACCCCCTTAGTACCTCAGTAAGTTGAGGTACAGTCCCCGGACCCTTATTCCTCAGTAATTTGAGGTACAGTCCCTGGACCTTATGTACCTAGTAATGTTTAGGTACAGTCCTGGGACCCCTTATTACCTCAGTATGTTGAGGTACAGTCCCGGACCCATTATGTACCCCAGTAATGTTTAGGTACGTCCCGGACCCCTTATGTCCCCAGTAAGTTGGGTACAGTCCCCGGGGCCCCTTAGTACCTCGTAAAGTTTAGGTACAGTCCCTGGACCCATTATGTCCTCGTAAAGTTGAGGAAAAGTCCCCGGACCCATTATGCCTTTGTAAGGTTGAGGTACAGTCCCTGGGCCCATTATGTACCTCAGTAAAGTTGGGACAGTCCTGGCCCTTTTTTTACTCAGTAAGTTGAGGACGTCCCCGGACCTATTATGTACCCCAATAATGTTTAGGTACAGTCCCTGGGCTATTATGTACCTCAGTAATGTTGGGTCAGTCCCTGGACCCCTTTGTACCTCAATAATGTTGGGTACGTCCCGGCCTATTTTGTACCTCGTAATGTTTAGGTACAGTCCTGGACCCTTTGTACCTCAATAATGTTGGGTACATCCGGACCCCTTTATGTACCTCAGTAATGTTTAGGTACAGTCCCTGGACCCCTTATGTACCTCAGTAATGTTGAGGTACAGTCCTGGACCCCTTTTTTACCTCGTAATGTTTAGGTACAGTCCCCGGGCCCATTATGTACCCCAGTATGTTGGGTACAGTCCCGGGCCCATTATGACCCCCAGTAAAGTTGAGGTACAGTCCTGGCCCATTATTCCTAGTAATGTTGAGGTACAGTCCCTGGACCCTTTTTGTACCCCAGTAATGTTGAGGTACAGCCCCCGGGCCATTATGTACCTCAGTAATGTTGAGGTACAGTCCTGGACCCCTTAGTACCCCGTAAGTTGGGTCGTCCCTTGACCCTTATGTACCTCAGTAATGTTTAGGGCCGTCCCTGGACTCATTATGTGCCTCAGTAAGTTGGGTACAGTCCCCGGACCCATTTTGTACCCCGTAATTTTAGGGACAGTCCCTGGGCCCCTTATTTCCCCCGTAATGTTGAGGTACAGTCCTGGACCATTATGTACCTTAAAATTTTTAACACAGTCCTGGGGGCCCTTATGTACCCCAGTAAAGTTGGGTACAGTCCCCGGACCCCTTTTTGTGCCTGTATTGTTGGGTCAGTCCCCGGACCCCTTATGTACCTCGTAATGTTGAGGACAGTCCCTGGACCATTATGTACCTCGTAAGTTTAGGTACGCCCCGGGCCCCTTATGTACCTCAGTAATGTTGAGGTACGTCCCTGGACCCTTTTTGTACCTAAATAAAGTTGAGGTACAGTCCCCGGCCAATTATGTCCTCTGAATGTTGGGGTCAGTCCCTGGACCCCTAAAGTACCTCGAATGTTTGGGGACAGTCCCTGGACCCTTTGTACCTCAGTAAAGTTGAGGTACGTCCCTGGACCCTTTTGTACCCGAAAAATTTTAGGTACAGTCCCCGGACCCCTTATGTCTCTGTAAAGTTGAGATTAGTTCCTGGGCCCTTTTTTGTACCTCTGCAAAGGAGGGACAGTCACTGGACCATTTTGCACCTCTGTAATGTTGAGGTACGTCCCTGGACCCATTATGTACCTCTGTAAGTTGAGGTACAGTCACTGGGCCCTTATTTCCTTGTAAGTTGAGGTACGTCCGGGCCCCTTTTTTTACCTCTGTAATTTTTAAGGTACAGTCCCCGGACCCTTATGTACCTCTGTACGGTTGAGGTACAGTCCCCGGACCCCTTAGTACTTCTGTATTTTTGAGGGACAGGCCCTTGACCCTTTGTACCTCTGTAATGTTGAGGTACGTCCTGGACCCATTAGTACCCCTTTTAATGTTGAGGGACATCCCTGGGGGCCCCCTTATGTACCCCTTTTAAAGTTGAGGACAGTCTTGGAAAACCCTTATGTCCCTGTAAGTTGAGGTACAGTCCCCGGGACCCATTATGTACCTCTGTAATTTAAGGTACAGTCCCTGGACCCATTTGTACCTCTGTAATGTTGAGGTACAGTCCCTGGACCCATTATGTACCTCTGTAATGTTGAGGTACAGTCCCTGGACCCATTATGTACCTCTGTAATGTTGAGGTACAGTCCCTGGACCCATTATGTACTTCTGTAATGTTAAGGTACAGTCCCTGGACCCATTATTTTCCTCTGTAATGTTGAGGTACAGTCCCTGGACCCATTATGTACCTCTGTAATGTTGAGTTACAGTCCCTAGACCCATTAGGTACCTCTGTAATGTTGAGCTACAGTCCCTGGACTCATTATGTACCTGGAGTTTACCTGGAGAGAGTTTCGGGGGTCAACGCCCCCGCGGCCCGGTCTGTGACCAGGCCTCCTGGTGGATCAGCGCCTGATCAACCAGGCTGTTGCTGCTGGCTGCACGCAAACCAACGTACGAGCCACAGCCCGGCTGATCAGGAACTGACTTTAGGTGCTTGTCCAGTGCCAGCTTGAAGACTGCCAGGGGTCTGTTGGTAATCCCCCTTATGTGTGCTGGGAGGCAGTTGAACAGTCTCGGGCCCCTGACACTTATTGTATGGTCTCTTAACGTGCTAGTGA